ATGCTTGATTAGAAAATGTTCTACAGTGGAGTCTGGCTATTGAGTCAGGTCTTGCTATTTTGACTGCATGTACTGTGGATTGTAAAGATGTGCTAGTGTCGCTGAGGTCACCCAATGCATCTCCAATGATGTGCCAGCTTGGTGAAGTAACAGCTTGAGTCACCGTTGATGAGCCTCCAGGCTCTGTATACTCAGAATTTCATAGATTTACTGTTAATTCCTACACCCAGTCCACCTAGCAGACTTTCACTAAACCAGCCATTGCTGACACAGCAATACCACTTTTGTATCATGGCAATATGTCTTCACATATTGGTTATCCATCCCATCTTGAAATCTGACACTTCATGGCATTACGGACATGTTAACACCAATTTTGATGGGCCCCTGATCATATATGGTAATGCTGCATCCACATCAAAGTGCATCGCTATGCATCATTGATTGCTAGACCCTATTAACATCACTTATCACTGCACTCATCCATCAAAGATATCAACCTATCATGGATACTCCAGAACTATGGTGACTCAAGCTGTTACTTCACCAAGTTGGCATGTCATTAGAGATGCATTGGGTGACCTCAGTGACACTAGCACATCTTTACAATCCGCAGCACACACAGTTGAAACAGCAAGAACTGGCCTGATAGCCGGACTCCACTGTAGAACATTTTCTAACCAAGCATGGCAATTCGAACAATGCTGTATACTTCAGCTGACAGATATAGGTCACATTTATTCAGGATTTTACTCAGCTAAGGCCTTACAGCCTTAGTAAAAAGTTGCTTGGAATTCTATTAATATATGTATGACTTTAGTATAAAAACATAGATTACAGTAGCATTCAGTACTTTTTGACCCCAGTGGGTACACTCTCATTTGCCAGACTATGCTTGTATTGATTCTCATACATGTCAATCCATCATACACCGTATTCACTGCATACACCAATAATAAATTGACTAGTCAGATCAGCAACTCTCTACAAATCCATCCATCATTTCTATAGGATCACCATACATTTATTTGTCATTTCATGGCAATATTCATCTTGCATTGCATATAGTCAATTGCATGTCAACTCATAGTATTGCTTGAGTTATTCCATGGTTCTTTAACTGTGAAGAAGATGTTTTCATCCCTCTTTACTCTTAACACTATTGGTACATGTCAATATCGTGCCAATACGTGATCGACCATGCCATACCTCACCCCCCATTTACTTTATAGGCAGCACCAGTTTCAACTTCACCAGATAGGACTGTTTTACCAGTTTTCACCTTCGCCATCATCATTGTCACCCACTTGGGTAGTCTCAGAGCAGACTTAGGATCAGTATCAGTATAGGACCAGTTCAGCAATCATTTCAGTATAGGAAATCCCAGTGCAGATTATAGGATAAGTTTTTGACATCAGATAGGATCGTTTTCAGCCCAGCACCATTTGCCCCAGTTTCCATATCAGCCTGTCCAGTTTAGGATCAGTTTCAACCAGTTTCAGCACCTCGTTCACGTTTATTTGATTGACCAGCATGTTTATTCCCAGCATTGCCAGTCCCTTGATCTATTGCCATATTATTCAGGCATTTCCCTCTCATTTCCCCACTCGTATTAACATCTCAAGCACATTTTCTCGAGTCTCATTCTCTGTTTCCATTTCAGAATATGGTTTCTTGATATTCACGTCATATCAGGCACCATTCCATCTTGTTCTATGAGACCCTCACAACTTACAGTCATTCTTTCGATTCCTCAACTCTCACATTGTATTATCTGCTTGACTGCATAGTCTAAGCATATCTTTGCACTCTTAAAGCTTTGATTTACTGCACAGAGGTGCCCTGAACCCACTCGCACACACGATCATCCTAGTATTGCCATGTTCACATGTTTATTCTCCATACTCTGCCCAAGTTTGGTTTTGCCATTGCCACAGAAGTCTAGGCTCATCAACATTGACTACTCATGGTTGGTGAAAGTGATGGCCAGTGCCTTATTTAGCACAGCATAGTACCCAGGTCTTATCACAAAAAATTCTAATTGTGCTATCTACCATCACCATTATTCCAAATGTACCAACTATTCATTCTCTAAAACCATGTGTGACCTCCATTTGCCTTGAGAACAGCCTTGACTTGATCCAACATGGTCCCAATATGCTTATTGATATCCTTCAAAGGCATCAAGACCCACTCCTGCAAAACCACTTCCCACAGTGCCTTGGTGCTCATCAGATGCCTTGGGAATGCATGGAGACACTTCTTGAGCTTGTGCCAGACTGGTTCAATGAGGTTAAGATCAGGAGAATTTGGTGGATGAGGAAAGAGAGGGATGTTATTTCATGCAAGCCAGCATTTGGTGGTCTTGGCTGTATGGCTTGGTACATCATCTTGCTGGAAGGTGAGTCCTGGCTGGGCTTTGTCCAAATCCTTCCAAAACACCTTCAACTGACCCTCTAGCACCTGATCTTGATAGTGAGCTGCTGTCATTCCTCTGCCTTTTCCACTAGGATACTCAAGAACAACTAATGGCCCCTTCCACCCCAATGCAACACATCCCCACACCATTACATGCATGGGAGACTGCTTAAAGGTTGGCACTATGCAGTCTTCATCCAACTCTTCATCAGCATGCTGTGTCACAAAAATCTGACCCATCTTATCATCAAGATGGATGTAACATTCATCTGACCAAACCACCTTCCTCCAATCCTGCTCCTTGTGATCCTTTGCCCATTGTTTTTGCACCTTCTTTTGGTTTGCAGAGAGAAAGGGACATTTCCATGCAACATGTTGATGCAATCCATGGTCATCCAAGGCCTTGGCAATAACCTTCTCACTCGCATCAATACCAACTTCATTCCTAAGGTCTCTGAGTGGCAGTCAGCAGCTTTTTACAGCTGCATGAGCTAGACGATGTGAGGTACACTCATCAATCTTCTTTGGATGTCCACTACAGGGTAGATTTTTGACAGGACTGTGCTCCCTGTACTTCCACCAGATTTTTTGTTCTGTCTCATATGGAATGCCAGTGAGAAGGGCACTTTCATTTAATTTCTGTGTAGTGAGCATAGCACCAATGAACTGGTTTTTTGCTGCCTCATTGTGTTCATGTCGCACCATGTCTTTGGGCATCAGAAAAAGAAGCGGAATGACATTGGCAAAGTAGCTACACAAACAAAAAACTAATGATCAGCTGTGTAGCGGCCATCACTTTCACCGACCACAAGTAGACATGCTGAGTTGTGGTGGGAAGTCATGACCAAATGTTGGGCTTATGAACTTTAGGATTGATCAACTCTCCTCAATCTCATGCAGGCTCTTCATGTGATAGGTGATATCCTACGTTCAGTAAGGAGATGGAACAATCCTGCCCTGGGTAAACTTCATGATCCTCTGGTCAATGGCAAATCAGCTATACCTTCAGGCTTACCATTATTTTTGGACATTAGAGGAGACAGCACAATCACTGTTTTGACATTATTCAACAACGGGTTCAACCCTGGACACCATTTCCCAGGAGCATCTTTCTCCAACAACATGGACGGCTCTCCCACATCCTTTGAGGATGTCAACTTTAGCTTTGCCCCGACTTTGGTGGAGTTTTTTTCGAACATCTTAATGGGTGATTATCACCTCTAAACTTCTTTCGTCCTTTCCTCCCTGGTCTATCTTCAGTCTGATCTGTGTTGCTGTAAAGCGGCATATATAAATTATACATCTGCCTTGCCCCCTTGCTTCATATATATATGTGACTCTATACTTCGTTAGATAGGACTTCTGACTCATTGATTCTGCTTGTTAGTTCTGTCATGATAGATGATAGGATTTTAGGCCTGGGATATGTCACATAGATAGTCTGAAAATGCGATGTTGGTGATGTACATATCCTGAGATGCGAAAGAGGAATAAACAACTTCCCACGTTCGGTTGGTCTGGGGGTTAAGTAGTCATGTCCGATTTTCGAACCAATGAGGACATTTTGGAGTTCCATATATCGTGTACGATTATCTCTACAAGCTCGGGGGGAAACATAGTCAAGGTGAAAGAAAAGTGATCCGGGAATACGGGCCGCGAATGTCGATCTCGTCTGAAAGTAGAATATCTGAGCACTGTAACATTATTTAAATTTAATACTACCGTCTAGGCATGAAGGGCTTGTCGTCTCCGTCCCAGTCGTCGTCATTTCCGTGACCATTCATCGCCTGGTCCTCCCCTTCGTCCTGCTCTCCCTGTTCGGGTTCCGGCTCTGGTTCTGGCTCCATCACCACGTCCTTCACCTCCTCCTGCTCCTTCACTACAACCAGTTCCTCTTCGCCCTTCTTCTTCCTCCTTCTCTTTGTTGGGGCCCCTTCAGCATTCTCATCCTTCGCTGCTGCACCCTCCTTCTTCGCTTTCCCCCTCTTCCTCTTCCCACCTTCAGCAGGCTCCACGTCCATATCAATCGTCCCACCTGCCGAAGGGTCCGGTACGCCTTCTACGATCTCCTTCAAAAAGTCCAGCATCTCAGTCGTCTCCACGGCGTGTTTCCTGCATCAGCGTCAATATGGATGGATACAGCAGACAGGACATGCCACGCACAGATGATACGCCTCCACCTTCTTCGACCCCCGTTCCGACGTGACTTTGTGTGCTTCTTCGATGATTAGCCCTAGGAACATCTCCAGGGCTTTCGCTGGTGTGGATGCGTCAGAAGGTATCCATTGTTTTGAGCCTGGGAGCCGTACATATGACGATGGGCGTTGCCTGCGCTACCTTGCCCACTTCTTCGTCTTTCTGCATTATCTTCTTTATCCGGGCCTACTCGAGCTGGTCACCAGGGTATTATCATACAGGACATAAACTCACGACGGGAAATTTCGTTTGTCGGTTCTTGTTCTTCATCACGGACAACAGTGTTCAGGTTAAGAGAAAGCTGTGATGAGTAAACAGGATCACGTCCACCGGTGATTGCCGCAGTATCGCTACAACTTGAGTGTCTCAAAGTTTCTATACCTTATGGCCTGATGGTCTAGTAGTATGATTCTTTGTCGGGGTGGATTTCTAGCTATCGAGGAGGTCCTGGGTTCAATTCCCAGTCGGGCCCAGTATCAGAAAGTTTTTTGCCTTTTTTTTTTAGCCTTTGTATTACTTGGTTACACAAAGGCCTACGTGCGGTGCTCTTCAACAGAACTCCAAGTTGGGAAAAGGTTTGCGAATGAAAACACCTGGGAAGGATTGACTTACAGTCTCTTACCGATTTCCGAAGGGGCGTGTTTTGATACGGCGATTTACCGTTACTTAAGTATGTGGTGCATAATCCGTGCCGTGCACCAGATGTTCTCGGGATCTTTATCCTTGTGCTTTCATACATTTTATTCCCTATTCTAAACAATAAATGTTGTTGGGGAAGACAAACGATGCTCTGTAAGAATTGTTCTAATGTAAGTACTGTCCCACAAACTCGAGTCCAAGAATGCTAAGTACTAATTTCATGCTCTCTGCATTCTGCGCAAGGGGATGGTAAGAGGCTATACTACGCCTTATTTCGGTTTAAGGCTGTTTAGGCCATTAAGGTTGCCTGAAGCTCCGCGTTGTATGGTAGGGAGTGGCGTGCATTCTTTACCCGCCGTGTTTTCGGAGTCGAGCGGGGAGCAGGTGGAGGATAGCCGACGTAGATCTCGGCGCCACTGTGATCAACAAGAACAGGTAGCAATCATCCAGATATTTTAGTCGGGAGGTTCAATTCCAGAGACTTTGGATAATATTTCAGCGATTAAGATGGTCCAAAATCGGCATGACAAGATGAATAGTAAAGCGCCACAGCGTCGGTTCCACAGTTTTGATACTTGAGGCCGGAGTGGGCGTCTTGTGGCGTGTTCCTAAGGACTTTCAAAATAATCAGCGAATCAACGCAACGCGCAGATGAAAAAAGGTACTTTACCATGGTAAGAGGTGATCGGACAAGGACAAGGTGAATGTTCTCATGATATAACATGCAGATAAGATCCTTGCCGAGCATTAGTGATGGTATTGCATTATGATAGTACAGTCCGAATAAGTTAGGGTATCATCTATACAGGCGGTGACAGTTTCCGCTCTCTGCACAACAAAATATTCAGCTTAGTTCCTTCGCTAACGATCATGACGAACTTACCCATTTGCATTCCCCAGAAGCTCCTCGTATTGTCGCCTGAAAGTCTCCAGCTGCGGATCAAACTCGTGTCCAGTATCGTGTCCGTGGTCCATTTGGAATGCCTCGCACTTTCGGATGAACTGTTCGAGGTCTTTTACGCGCGTTATGGATAGTTGGGGCTCATTGGAACCGCGAGATCGGGCGAGGTATGAGGCTACCATGGTTGAGATGCCTCCTACAAGGAGTGTTAGTGCAACTCGGAGGGATGAGTATGGATTGTGATCCCACCGAGGATTGATATAGCGATGGAGGTCTGGTAGTAATGCATTGAGCTCGAGCAAGGCATATCGAATATGATGGATGAAATCTGACCTGTTTACCGGACGTCGCAGCTGATAGGCCCGTCGTAAGTGCACCCAGCAGGACCTGCAGACCTGATCCAACGACTTCAGCGTGGCTAGTTACATCTGTCTGAAACCCAACCACCCACCTATCGCGATATTAAGCGCATAGCCTGTCCTCTTCGCCTTCGAAATGTATTTCTCCCTCGCCGCTTGCGCAGTGCTCAGCGTCGGTTGCAACCGCTCGCCCACTGTTTTAGGACGTGAAGGCTGCAAAGCGTATGGTCAGCCACAGGCAGTTTTCCATGAGGCCAGACACACTTTCTCCGACCTGGCATCGACGGGAATGATCCAGTCAATGTCGGATCGCCGTGAGGGCTTCCGCCCGGGTGAATGTGGGTCTTGACCTGGTACAGGAGGCAAGGGGTTGTTCGAGAGGCTCTGAGCGCTGCGGAGGGACGCGTACGATATGTCCGACCTGGGCGCGTCGCCTTGGTCGGACAACGGTGAGCTGTGTCTGATGGAAGTGTACGCTGAATTCCTTTCTGGGCCGATTATTGGGACTGGGGCTGCAATGGTAGGTCCGAGACCAACAGGGGAGGAGCTGCCTTGGGCCTGAGACTGCGAGGTCGTACCAGGTCGGTCCTGAGGATTGAGAGCCTGGGGGTGGTCCATAGCCCAAGTGACCGAAGAACAGGTGGGTATTTAGAGTATTCTAAGCGAGAGAATTGATCAGCTAACGTGCGTACGGCAACATACTTATGTATATCCATAACTCGGAGGCAAAACCGAAGATTCATTGCGCCCGCATGTTTGCAGATGGAGCTGATTTCAACCGTTTCAAGATCTAGAAGCACGAAAAAAGCTCAGTGAACTTTGCCAACAAACCTTAAGTCTTGAAATGTATAGTACACTGCCGATTTCATTACAGCGCCCAGTGTGAACTAGGGTCGTGCAGATAGAAATCATTCAAGGCACTTGGAAACGCATCAAATGATTCAAAGTGTTGACTGGCAGAACGTTACGTGGACGCATTGGTAAGCTTCTCGTACTTACATAGTTGTACATGTGGTTCTTGACTGTCAGCATCCGGAGATCGTAAATGCCTGTGCCTCACCAAAATTGTTCTCTGTGCAGCACAAGCCATTCTGGCTGTCTAGACGATATTAATTATTACTTTGGGAAGTTTGCCGTCTACAAAAGGACACTCATGAGGAGTGCCATTCGAATCTAGGATGGAGGGTCGACGATTTGTCTTCAGTCAAGCTAAATGATACTCACGAGAAGGTCGTAGCGCATCTGTCGGAAGTAGGCAGCCCGGTGGGAATCAAAATCAACTTCAGGATCGATTTCTATTGTTTAAAATTTAGCGAACATGTCTACACAGCAAATTCATTGATGACTTACCATTTCACCCTTGGTAATGGGTGTATGACGATCATATCTTCTTTGGCCCTTGACCGAACCGCATGATCGACCCGGTAAGCATCTTTCACATTCGGTCTCAGTCTCAAACCTCTCCTGCAGGACGCGTGCAGTTACGTATAACACATCAGTCTCGTGTAAAGCGTCCTCAAAGGACTCGCATACTGTGACCAGCCGCAGTATGCCAGCCTTCCGCGAAGATGAATATCTTCGAGTATCAAACGTCCATCCGCTGCTGCAGTGAGCAGGAGGGGTAGGGTTTCCTCCATTGCCGACCACGGCGAAAGCGGTTTCGCCTAGTTCTTCTATCGCCAGAAGATAAGGGGTTGCACCAACAGAGAAGGCATCGATCGTTTCGAGTTTCAACCATATTGCCTTCTAATAATCTGTAGTGGGTGGGCATGCTGACTTGGGGCCAGGTCGGACCCTTTTGTGTTCGTGACAATAGGCTTATCCGATGTCCACGACATGAAGTGGGCAGCGACTGCGGAGAGTGATGGTGACATGGTCGACGTTGAAGGGAATGAAGAGAGCTTTGGCTTCTGCCTGTAATTCATCGTCCAATCCTTGAACTTTCCATGCATGCAGCGAGAGTGAGCGCAAAATTGCAATGAGAGCAGCCCTTGAGATTGGCAACCGCTTCGGAAAAATGCACGTGATATTCACCTGACCCTAACACAGCCACCCCCATTTCCTGCCAAATTCGGATCCAAATTTAGTCCAATCTATAAAGTCATCCTCACTTGCTTGCGACGTCAAGTGAGAGAGAGAGACGGTTACGAGTCCGGGCCCTCGAGTCCACAGGAATACAAATGTAAGCCAGTGTAAATCGGTGTAGTATGGATACAGATATACACGGGTTTCACGTGTGTCTCCATGATATTTGTTGACAGAGACGTCATGTAAGTAGACCGTAATTCGCTGGTGTTCACACCATTCCCCGCATCACGGAAGCCTTGGGGTTTTGTCCAGTATTTCCGGTTGTACTATATTTCAATTCCCTGTGCAGCGAAGCGTTCAGCTGATTTCCTTCATTAACAATCACGACGTACTTACCTATTCGTATTCCCTAGAAGCTCCTCGTATCGTCGCCTGAAATTCTCCAAGCGCGAATCAAATTCGTGACCCGTATCGTTACCGTGGTCCATCTCGAATGCCAGGCACTCTCGGATGAACTGCTCGAGGTCTTTCACGAGCGTTAAGGATCGTTGGGGTTCATTGGAACCGCGAGCTCGGGCGAGGTATGAAGCTACCATGGTTGAGATGCCTCCTAGAAGAAGAAGTGAGCAGGATGGATGGGTCAGGAATGTACTTTTGTTCCCACCGAGGATTGATATAGCGATCGAGGTCTAGTAGAAGTAAGGCATCGAGTAAGACTTAAGTCATGGAAGAGCTGGAATCTGACCTGTTTACCGGACGTTGCAGCCGACAGCGCCGTTGTAAGTGCACCCAACAGGACCTGCAGACCTGATCCAACAACTTCCTTCAGCACAACCAGTCACGGCGTCTGCCTGGTAACCAGCCACCCACCTATCGCGATATTTAGTGCATAGCCTGTCATCCTCGCTTTCAGTTTATATTTGTCCCTCGTCGTTTCTGCAGTTTTCCGTGTGGGCTCTAAGCGCTCACCTACTGTTTTGAGACCTTGGGACTATGTATCAAGCATGTGTTTAGTTGTCTAGGGGCTAAACAGGAAGGACGCACTTTTTCGACGGGGACGACCCAGTCAATGACGGGGGCGACCCGTGTGTCGGATCGCCGAGAGGGCTTCCACCCGAGTGAGAATGGGTCGTGACCTGGCAGGGGAGGCGAGGGGTTGTTGGAGAAGCTGTGGAGGGGCGCGTATGACGCCCCCGACGCGGGTGTATCCCCTTGGTCGGTCAACGGCGAGTTGCCTCTGATAGAAGTGTACGTCGAGTTCCCCCCTGGACCGATTATTGGCACTGGGGCTGCAATAGTAGGTCCGAGGCCAGCCAGGGAGGAGCTGCCTAGGGTCTGAGAATGAGAGTTTCCAACGCGGTCCGGAGCATCCATAGCCAAAGGTGATCGATGAAAGGGTATTTAGAGTCTCCTTAGCGAGAGAATTCATCAACTGCATGCGTAGGCGGGCATACTTATATCCATAATTCAGAGGCAGAAACGAAAGTTCATTGCGTCCGCATGTTTGCAGATGGAGCTGACGGTTCCAAGATGCACGTAAAATCG